GGGGGGGGGGGGGTAGGCTCTTGTATTTATCATCCCAAAATCAACTCCTAAGCTGATTTCTTTCTTTAAACTTTGAAGAAAATTTAGTTTCTTAATTACTTTTAAGATTATTCTTTACTTTTCGTCATTTACTTTCCGCATTTATATTTATGTATTTATTTTTGTTATTTATTTTACTTGTCATTTACTTTTTGCAATGAGTAGCTAATTTTATAGCTTGGGTGTGAGACAATGAGTGAAATTTTAAACCGAAAGAAAATATACATTGTTTTGCAATAATGATGTTCCATTATTTCATTCAAGTTTTATAAAAACCAATGACATTTCATGACAAGTTGATCACTTTGAAAGTGTTAAAGTGTCATGGTCTTAGAGATAAGACATTAAATGCATGTCAACTTGAATGATATAAGAATTAGATTTGAGAAAGTTGTCGAGAATGAGACTTGTCATTTATATTTTTCAAACTAATTAATTCTTGATAGGTTGGTCACTTGTTAAAGTGTTAAAGTGCTGTAGATTCATAGATGAACTACCTAGAACATACACTAACTTGAATGATATGGGAATCGGCTCGACAAAGTGATTCTTAACAAAGAAATTTTTTATCCATATATTTTGAGGACACTATTCGTCCTTATCCCTGGTCCGGATACCCCATAGAGATATGAGTTGAAAACTATAATATAATGCAATGGTGGAAGTATGAGAGGAATACCCTCAAAATACATGGTGGAACTAAGTTATGGAAAACTACTTGTTGTAGCATCCCTACAACATTGTGTAACATCCAATTTCTAATATGCCTAATTATTTGCTTAGTATATTTAATTATTGGGTTAAACAGAATTTATGATTTAGTGGGAGTTTGGGTATGAAGTTTTAGGATTTTATTTCTTAAGATTATATTAGAGGATTTGGAAAATATCACGTCAAATGGATACGTAAAATGGATTTTTGGGAGATCTTTTCTAGAATATTTTTTTGTTGGATGTTATAGATTATCTCTTTATGAACGTGTAGGCGAAAACTTCATAGAAGACAGAGGTCCGAGCGAAAAATTATGAATAATTTAAGTGTTGATGATCAAAATGGGTTCCTAGCCGGGCCAAACCGGCCCAACTCGAGTTTTAGCATTATAAATTAGAGTTTTGGCCCATTTCTCTTGCCATCTAAGTCCAGAACTCACACACACTCTAGAGGTGCGATTTTCACACACATAGGCTTGATTCAACTCAAATCAAAGAGGAACTACAAGATCTTTGAAAGATTTGATCATCAAGCAAGGTATAATCCATTCTTTGCACTTGTTCTTGGTGGATATTCTTGTTTTATGGATTGCATGTTGAGATAGAGTTAGGGTTTCATATGAGTTTGAACTTAAGTGTATAAAATGAGTGCATTTTAGTGTTTTTGGCATGAAATAGTCATTAGATTCAAGAGATTATCGAGATTTATGGAAGTTCATCATAGGGGTGTTCAAAAAAACCGTCGGACCGCTCAAACCGGCCAAACCAAGTCAAACCGGACCGTTTTTTGGCGGTTTGAGCGGTCTAGCGGTCCGGTCTGGTTTGGAAAATAGCAAAACTGGGTGGTCCGGTCCGGTCTGGAACCTTTTTTGGGCGGTTTGGACCAAACCGACCACCAAATGCATACATACATATATATATATATATACATACATATATATATATATATATATACATATATATACATATATATATATACATATATATATATACATATATATATATACATATATATATATACATATATATATATATATTTATCTATTTTATTATTAGCAAGCCCAACTTTTTTAACTTATGGGCTATGACCCAAATATATCCCTAAGCCTAACATCTAACATAATCAAAATCAACTCCTAAAACCATTAAACATATCGACACATTTGATATTAACGGTCTTCAAAATTTGAAGTTCCTCAAGAACTCTATCACTCTATCGATCTTTCTAATCCATGGTTTGATTTCGGCGCACATCTTCAAGACATCAACCAAGTGAATCAAGACTCAATATTTGAACTATTAAAGGTTATGAAATCGTGGATTTTGTTACTCAATAATCACAGTGGAGTTGTAACTTTGTTAATTTGTTTGTTTTCTAATATGTATTATATATTTATTTGTTTGTATTTTGGATTGCTGCGACTTTGTATTCAAGAGCTGCTTAATTATTACATTTATTTGTTTAGATATTTTGTTTTGTTAAAATGGATATTTAATCTAAAATTTTAAATGATATATGTTTTTTAAGTTTAATATTTAAAATCCATTAAAGGTTCAAACCGCCTAAACCGGTCAGACCAGACCGCCTTTTCATGGTCTGGTTTGACCGATTTGAGCAGTTGATGTCAAACCGCTTGGTTTGAAAATTTTATAAACCTCCATTACGGTTTGGTTTGTGGTTTGAAGGGTTAAATCGCCCAAACCAGACCGCGAACACCCTTAGTTCATCATATGAACTTTGACTTGATTA